GGAGATGTCCAAGCTACCTCTGGATGCTGAGGCAAGATGACTTCTTGAGCCCAGGAGTCTGAGGTTGCAGTGAGCTACGATGATGCCACTGAACTCTACCTGGCGACAGAGCAAGACTCTGTCTCAAAAAAAAAAAAGGAAAGAAAGGATGAATTTTATTGTATGTAAATTACACCTCAATAAAGTTGATATTTAAAAAAAAAAACAACAGGCGGGCCAGTGGCTCAAGCCTGTAATCCTAGCCCTCTGGGAGGCCGAGGCAGGCGGATTGCTCGAGGTCAGGAGTTCAAAACCACCTGAGCAAAGAGCGAGACCCGTCTCTACTATAAATAGAAAGAAATTAATTGGCCAACTAATATATATAGAAAACACATTAGCCGGGCATGGTGGCGCATGCCTGTAGTCCCAGCTACTCCAGACTGAGGCAGGAGGATCGCTTGAGCCAGGAGTTTGAGGTTGCTGTGAGCTAGGCTGAACCACGGCACCTTAGCCTGGGCAAAGAGTGAGACTGTCTCAAAAAAAAAAAAAGAAAGAAAAGAAAAGAAAGAAAAGAAAAGAAAGAAAAAGAAAAGAAAAGAAGTAAAAAAGAAAAAAAAAGAAAGAAAGAAAATAAGTCACCAACATGCTGCCTTGACACCTCCAAATACTGTGTATTTTCCACAACCAAGCACAGTCCCCAACATGGGCAGTGTCAGAAAATGATGAAAATGAGGACATTAAGGCATAGGGATCTCTGCTGTCTACTCTGAAGGCACAAGTGTCACTACTTGTGCCAATAACTGAAAGGTGGCCTTACTAGTAACCTAAGAAAATAAACTATCAAACAGAAAGAGAAATAAACTCACAACAAAACTACCCTTTGTTTAATTAAACCACGTGTGGCCTAACTTGTTATCTGAGTTCCTTCCCAGCCTAGCACTCCTCGGACAATAGGGGCGACAGTTTTCCCTGCCTCCCCAACAAGGGACAGACAGCACCGGGTGCCTCCCGCTATGAAGAAGAAAGAAGAAATTGATTTCAGCTGTCAGTCTGCTCGGGGAGAAACAGAAAAAGCCAAAACAGCAACTTCCCGGCCACTTTTGTTCTCAGTCCCCTGTAGCACAGAAAATAAAAGCCATTTCTATCTTTTAAAAGCACCAAGCAACTTTCCCCGGCCACCCGGCATTTCTTTCCTCCCTCTGTGTCGTCGCCACTCTCTCTCTCTTTCTATCTCAGGAAAATAAATAAACCTTTACTTCTGTGTATCCTAATCACTAAGAATTCTTTCTCCCCCCCCCCAAACCTATGGATTTAACATCCTAACAATGTCTTACTTTTCACTGTATATTTTGAAATATGTACCATATGCATGCTATTTTTTCAAAAAAAATTAATATTTAAAACTTGACACAACCAAATGAAATGAAAATCAACTCATTCAATAGGCAGCCCTGGAGAACTAGGACACCCAGACGTTCTCAGGGCCGGGCACACAAGGGGCACCCAGCTGGCGGGTGCCGGGGCAGTGACCATCGGGTCCTGGTCGCCCCACGCGACTCCACAGTCGGACCCAGGCGAAGGCAGGAACCGCCCGGCTTCCCGCCCCCACCTCGGTCCCAGCCGCAACCGCCGCAGCGGCCGCCAGGGGGTCGGGCACACGACGCCCAGAATCTGGGCCCGAGGCCCTGGGCACGTCCCATCAAGGCGTGGCTTCCGAGGAATGTTCCAGAAAAACAGGCCTGAGACGCAGCAAGCAGCTTTGGGTCGCCGCCCCCAGGCCGACTCCTCCATCCGGGGCTGGGACGTGAGCGGCGCCGCAGAGGCGTCGCCAGGGTGCGGGGCTGCGGGCGCCCAGGGGGTCCCGGCCCCGTCCCGCCGCGAACCGGACCCCTGGGACCCCGAGACCCGAAAGTCACCCCTGGCGGTCGGGGCCGCACTAGCCGCCCGCGGGCCCTGCGCTCCGCGTCCCGGCCGCCAGGGGGAAGCCCGGGGTCCGCGCCGCCGGGCTGAGACAGACGGACGTGAGGACGAGGGCCGGCGACGGCAGCGGGGACCCCGAGTCGGCCATTCGCGTCCCACAGCGACCGCGGAGCCACTGTCGCTGCCCTGGCGTCTGCCCCGAGGGTGCCGGGCGGGGACCGGTCCCAGCTCCGGGACTGGCGCGGAGCTCGACAACGCCCGTCGGGTCCCCGGCCTCGCCCGCCCGGGACCGGAGTCCAGGGGAGAAGACGGGGACAGGACATGGAGAGGGGCCGGGGACACAGGGACCGGGGATATGTGACACCCTTTCCCCGCGGGCGTGTGGAGCCCGCAAGTGAGCAGAAACGCGGGACTCGTTTGTTCTTTGCGCAGGCGTGCTCATGTGGCGCCATCAGCTCCACGGGGGCGGGGACGCCCAGGCGCGCCGTGACGCCTCCCCGCCCCGCCCGGCCGCCCAGCCCACTCCCGTCCCGCCCGGCCTGTGTGTAAGAGCGCTGCCGCGACGTGAGCCCCAGGCCGCCGACTCCCAGAGCGCGACCCTCCAAGGCCCTCCCTGACAGAGACGGTCCCGAGCACCTGCGGGTTCAAATCCCGCCTGGGCAACGCATTCGCTGTGTGGCCCCGAGTCACCGTCTTCGCCTCCCCGAACCTCACGTTTCTCATCTATTGGAAAGGGACACGGACACAGGAGCGCCACAGGCTTAAACTTTATTTGCCACGAGCGCGGGCCGCCCGCGTCCCTCAGAAGATCTTCAGCGACTCCAGCTGCACGTCCCCGCCCACCTCCACCAGGCGCACGCGCGCCGGCGGCATCCGGTGGCGGAAGTGGTGGAACTGCGCGTCCCCGACCACGGCCTGCGGGCGAGGGCGGAGTCAGGGCTCGGACCTGCGCTGCCTGGCGCGGGGAAGCCACCCACCGCCCTGGGCCTCAGTTTCCCCAGTGGGAAAACGGGCTGTTGTTAATTAGGACGTTGTGTCGCGAATTCTCGCGAGTTCACTGCTGGCCACCGTAAACACGTGCTTTGTCAGTGCTGCGGTGGCCGCTAGGATCGCTGGGTTGTCACTCTCGCCACAGGAGCGCGGCCGCACGGACCTACGTCGCTTAAGGCCTGGGTGGCGGCCGTCCCGCGCCAGCCTTCCGCCCGCACCGCCACCTCGGGCTCCCGCTCGCCTCCTCCGGGTGCGCGTGCGCGGGCGACAGGGCGAGGGGACAGCCCCGCCCGCCCCGGCCACGCCCACCTCCCGGCGCTCCCCGCCCTGCGTCCCGCGCCCTCTGCTGCTGGCCCGGGCTGGGCGCGCCGCGCCCTGGGGCAGGGACGCACCTTGAAGCCGTCGTCCGTGGCGATGAGCAGCACCTCGAAGGGCTGCCCGCGCTGGAAGGGGATGCCCGGGCCGCGCTCCTCCCGGCCCCAGGCGCCCTGCTCCAGGCTGTTGAAGACGACGGCGGACTCGTCCAGCCGCGGGTTGAAGTGCAGGGCCGCGTCCGCGCCCTGCTCCTCGCTGCACAGCAGGTTCACGTGGAACCTGGAAGCGCGGGCGGTGGCGTCGCGGCTCAGGAACCGCCCAGACCCTTGGACCGGGCCTCCCCATTGCCAGGGCACCCGCTGATGGGCAGGGACCCGAAGACGCCACGCACCGTAGACGGAAGCATTTTGCACCAATGGCCAGGGTGCCCGGGGTCCCAGGGAACCCTCAGCTCCCAGAGGATGGGGGACAATAGCGGGGACCCCAGTATTTTCAGGAAACCCTCTCATTTCAGATGGCACCAAGGTCCCCAGAGAGTATTGAGTGGCAAGGCGTCCCAGTGTCTGGGGTGTCTCAGGACTCGGGCACATTTCCACAGTGCCGGGGACTCAGGGAGGTCACAGGACTCTATGTAGGAACCGGGCATGCCCTGGACCCCATATTCTTAGGGAGTCGTGGGGCCTGAGGCCCAGGGACGTCGACAGCTAAGCGGATCCATTGGGCTCGCAGGGTCAGGATTGGCCTGGGGATGGCAGAGATGGCCCCAAGGCCCCCATCTCTGGCTGCAGGAACCGGGGTGAGCTCAGTGTGGATCCGCCCCCCTTAGCCCTGGGGCCTGGGTCTCACCTGCCAGCCTTGTCAGGGACGAAGCCTCGCAGTCTGAGCACGGTGCCTGGGCGGAGGCCCTCGGGCAGTGAGGTCCTGTTCTGCAAGAGCGGGGTGTGGGGACATCGTGAACCAGGGGGACAGGGACACGGAAGGCGGGTCACGCTGGGTGGAACAGACCAGGACCGACACCAGCAGAAAACAGTGGAAGAGACGAGATCACAGGAAGGAGGGAGAGAGGGAGACAGACAGGGAAAGAGATGGGGAGAGCAGGAGAAAAAAAAGAAAATGTTGAGAGACCAAGAGGAAGCCACCAAGTGGGAGATGGGGACCAGCGGGATGTGGCGGGTAACCCCAGACACCTCAGCCCAGCACAACCCACAGCTCACCCCCGTGCCCACTGTCTCCGTTGCCATGGCAGCCCGCTGCCAGGCCCCAGCCCCCGCCCACGTGGCCCAGCCTGGGCCCTGCGGCACCCAGGAGCTTACCGCCATGGCTGGGACCGGGACCGGCAGCAGTGGTGGTGGTGAGACTGCGGGACCTTAATAAGGCAGACGGGACGGATGACTCACCGCCCCTCCCACCGCCACCCACACCTGGCACGGACCCTGGCCCCGGGCAAGGCTGGCGAGGCTGCTGCGGCTCCCTCTTCCTGGGGCCCTGCCCCACTCCCTGAGGGTCCCAGGGGCCCTGCCCTCTCCTGTGAGCCCCCAGTGACAGGGACAGTTCACAGCAATCATGATCACAGCACACGAGGGAAGGTGGGTATGCTCCGCCAGCCTGGGGCAGAGTTAGCTCTTCTGCTCGCCTGGCACAGAGACACGCCGCGTCCTGAAGGCCCAGCTGGGGCTGCGACTCCGGACCCTCCCGCCTGGGGCTGAGGGTGTCTCCGCGCCAGTCCTGGCCTGGGACCTGTGCTAGGGCCATCGCCAAGCCCCACAGTGGGGACAGGGCAGCTCCAGAGGGCAGGGCTGCTGCTCCGCTGGTCACCCCTACATCCCGCCTCTTGGTGTGCCAGGCTCGTGGCAGGGCCTCAGTAGACAGGGCTGAAAAGCAGCGACAGACCTTGACAATGGGCCCTTTCCGAGCTTCCGGCTGCCTAGGACATGCGGGAAATCCCTGAGCGCTGCCCGCAGTTCCACAAGGGAGGAGCGGCGACCACCGCAGCCTGCAGAGGGGGAATCTGAGGCCTGAAAGGGGAAGCGATTTGCTCAGAGGGACAAGCTGTGCGGAACCCTGTGCATCTCTGGCTTTGTTCCTCTCTAGAAGCTTCTCTCCTGTTCTCTGTGTCTTGGGAATCTCAGTGTCTTCCCCACCCCCCACCCCAGCCCGCCATGTTTTCCTGGCCATCTCTCTCCTTTAAGTCTCTTTGTCCTCCTCCCAACACTGCATCCACCGTCCCAGCATGTTTGCAGGTCTGTAGGTCAGGGTGAAGGGGACTCTGGGGTTGGGTGTCCTAGGACCTCATCACCACCCAGACCCAAATAGAACAGAGTGTAGATCCTCCCTGTGGCTCCTTACTGCCTCCTTTGGCCCAGGGCTCTGGAAGAGTCTTGGGTTGGGGGAAGGGGGACGGGGCTGAAAGACATTTCTGGAAGGCAGGGATGGTGTGGGAGCTGAGCAGCCTCCTGGACCTTTGCCAGCACCACCCTCACTGCCACACCCAGCTGTACCCAGCCGGTGGCAGGGAGGCCAGGGCCCGTGCAGGCTGGCCATGGAAAGTCTGAGTGGAGGTGACCAGACTCAGACCCTCCTCCTCCCCCTCCCCAGTGCCGGGCCTGCCATGCTCTCTCGCTCTGCCACACGCCCCTGCCCCGGAGCTGGGGTCCACTGCGGGGACCTAGAGAGGGAGGCTGGGCAGCTGCCTTTGGTGGGGACTGGGAACAGCCCCATTTTGCAGAGGACAAAACCGAGGCTTAGACTGGGGCAGCTCTGAGCCCAGGCCACACTGCAGGGAAGGCCAGGCCCTGGGCTCCAGCTGGGCTCTCTGTGCCAAGGGCCCCTCTCAGGCACAGAGAGAGGACAGCAGGGCCACATACAGGGTGTGACCCAGCAGCCCAGAGCTGTCGCTTCCCGGGAACTGCCCCTCCATCCTCCTGACTCTCTCGTCCGTCACCAAGAACACGCTCCGTACAGTTCCGCGTGCCTCCTCTGTACCTTGCTACTGTGTCTCACTGACACACGTTCATGCTCGTCTCTCAGTGTGGATGTGACTTCACAGGCCCTCCCGCTGCCAGTCCCAGCCTGCCGGTGGCCACGGGCCAGGACTCTGCCTTCGCTCTGTTATCAGCCCCGACGCCTGGGCCTTCCCATGACTGCCCTGGTGGCTTCTTATTCATTCCTGTTGATCATCTTTCTTATCAGTTCTGAAATGATATTTCTGTAAGCCTTTTATCAGTTCTAAATGATTAGCATATTTATTTCCCAATTGTGTTTTTAGCCAGGTGTACTCCCATAAAAAAAAAAAAAGTCCCAATTTAAATGAATTGTTGGTTCAGTTTCGAGAAATGCAGAGACCTGGGTCACCCGTCCTCCATCCATTCTCCTGGTGCCCCAGGAACAGCGTCCCCTCCTCCTGCCCCAGGAAGACGCTGTCACGCCTGAGTGTTCAGTAGCCACCAAGGTTTTCAATTGCTCTTGAAAGAAGAGAGAGGGGCAGACTGCTGTTTTTTGACTTTCGACATTTTTTGGAAATACGTCAGGTGAAAAAGTAAGCTAATTGCACACAAGGTTTGTAGGATTTGTGAAACCTCAAGGCTGAAGCCGGGTGTGTTGGCTATGCCTGTATATCCTAGCACATCTGGAGGCTGAAGGCAGGTGGATTGTGTCTTGAGGTCAGGAGTTCGAACCAGACCTGAGCAAGAGGAGAACCCCCCGTGCTTCTTCCTTTATACAATAAGAAAGAAATTTAATTGCAACTAATACATATACAAAAATAGCCAGGCATGGTGGTGCATGCCTTGTAGTCCCAGCTTACTCGGGAGCTTTAGCAGAGAACTCGCTGAGCCCAGGAGTTTGAGCTTGCGTGAGCTAGGGTGAAGCCAGCGGCAACTTCACTCTATCTGGGCAACAAAGTGAAATTCGTCTCAATAAAATAAAAAAATAAATAAACCTTCCAAGCGCCGTCAATGGCATTTTGTTGGTGACGTTTTGGCATACTTTAGGAGGCAGTGAAGGTAATTCAGGGAGCTCATTTGGTTTTTTACAAATACATGCACATGAGGAAAATAGCACATTAAAATCTGAGTTTTTTCCTTTAAGCTTATGTCCAATTTTGAAACCTCAACAACGATAAATAGAACAATCCAATCCTGGCAAAAGGAGAAGTCTTATCAGTTGGCATGCAGTTCCATTTAATAAACTCTAATCTTTTAAATACACATTTCTAAGCTGTATAATAGAATTTAGAGGTTATGAAATGAATTTTTATTTTATCTTTGTGTCTATACAGCAGTCCTAAATAACTCTTCTAAGTAAAAGGCTATCTTGCAAATGTTCAGTGCTAAACTGTCAAGTAGCACCTGTGTGGCTTTGTGGGATTGTGTCCCCCCAAATTCACGTGTTGAAACTTTTCCCTCAATGGAAAGACAAGGGAGGTGCGCTCATGGAGGGCTTCTGCCCTGACCATGGTCTAGTGCCATTAGTCGTGAGTGAATAGTTGTCCCATGAGTGGGTCCTGATAAAGGAAGGACGGGCCTCATTCTCTCTCTCCTTTGCTAGCCCTCTACCATGCAAGCCCAGCAAGAAGGCTGTCACAGAGCCGTCCCCTCGCTCTTGATCCCAGCCTCCAGAACATGAGCTAACTACAATCTCTTTTCTTTATAAATTATAGTCCTGCAGTAATTCTATTACAGTAGAGGAAAGTCGGACGCAGACTAGAAAATTGTAATAAGAAGTGGGCTGTTGCTATACAAAAGTCAGCCTTAAAATATGAGAATTGGCTTGGAACTTCGGTATGAGCTGAGCTGGAAGAGTCTGAGAGAACAGGCTAGAAAAAATCCGTATTGCACGAGATGGAGCAGGAAGTGGGTGGGGGCTCAGAACCCCTGCAAACCTCAGCAGTCCAGGGTACAGGGCGCTAAAACCGACTTGGTTGAAATGATGATGAAATAGAAGCAGTTTGTAATAGAGAGTCATCCACATAGTCCGCGAGCTGCAATGGAAAACTTACCTTAGATAAGAAATCTATTTCCAACACCCTAGCCAAATGATGAAAGCTTTGCCAACAGTGTGACTTTAGAACAGTTTTTAAGGGAGAGTTCCAGTGTCATATAAACCAACAAAGGTTGGAGGACCTATTCCAAGATCAAACACAATGACCGGACAACCAGTTGAAATTTATTTATTACTTTTATTTATTTTATTTAATTTATTTATTATTTATTTGAGCAGAGTTCGCTTTGTTGCCGCAGGCTAGAGTGGTGCCGTGGCGCCAGCCTAGCTCAAACGGCAACGCCTCAACTTCTGGGCTCAAGCGATCCTCCTGCCTCAGCCTCCCGAGTAGCTTGGACTACAGTGCATGCGCCACATGGCCGCCTATTTTTTCTATATACTACTGTAGTTGGCCACCTTTAATTTCTTTCTATTTATAGTAGAGACGGTCCTTGCTCTGCTCCAGCTGGTTTCCGAACTCCTGACCTCGAGCACTCCTCCTGCCTCGGCCTCCCAGAGTGCTTAGGATTACAGCGGCGTGAGTCACCGCGCCCAGGCAATTTTTATTTTTTTTTTAATGTTCCAGCACATTTTGGGTACAAATATTTAAAGGTTTTCAATATATTGCGCTTCCCCCTCCTCCACCACAAGTCAGAGCTTTTTCAAGCTGTCCATCCCCCACGGGTGAAATTTATTACCTCTGTTGGCACCGATAGGGGTCAGTACTGCTACCGTAGATCGCTTGGGACTAGGTACATCCCAAGAGGGTGAAAACGTGTTCAATCAAAAAATACTGGACAGCAGAATGTTCACAGCAGCGTTATTAACCGGACCAAAGGTAGACACAGTCCAATGTCCATTGCAGAACACTTTATGTCTGCTCCTTGTGGGGTATCAAGTGGGTGAGAGTAAAACTGATATAAATAGATTAACAGGCGGCAGCCCGAGGCTCAGCCTTTAATCCTAAGCACTCTGGAGGCGAGGCGAGCGGATTGCTCGAGGTCAGGAGTTCAAAAACCAGCCCTGAGCAAGAGCGAGACCCCCGTCTCTACTATAAATAGAAATAAATTAATTGCCAGACTAATCATATATAGAAAAAATCAGCTGGGCTGGTGGGCATGCTGTAGCCCCAGCTACTACAGAGGCTGAAGCAGGAGGATCGCTTGAAGCCCAGGGAGTTTGAGGTTGCTGTGAGCTAGGCTGACGCCATGGCACTCACTCTAGCTTGGCAACAAGGAGACTTGTCTCAAAAAAATAAAAATAAAATATATTAACAGGAGAAAGGCACCCAGAGTTAAGTCACACATGACATGGAGTCCTCATAAGGAAATGAAGAACCCAAGAAGTGGCCTAAATGCTTTTTTATTACCTTGAACAAAAAGACAATTGTGCAAAGTAAAATTTGGGGAGATAAGAAATTATCCTACAAGCGTCCTGTTTGTCCATTAACGTCATGGCCATGATTCTCCTTCAAAGAATGTTCTTTTTTGTTTTTCTCACTCATAGGTAAAGAAAAAGAAAAAAAAAAGTAAAAAAAAAGAAACAAAGAATGTTCTTTTTCTTCTGCTACAGGGAGTTTTTATGTTCTGTTTTTAGGAAGTAAAGAGGAGATTAGAATGCTCTTTTCGTATCTGTTGTTTCCCAAGTGACTTTGGTACAAAGTAATCCTTGTGACAAAGTGGCATATTTGGGGGGCCTATTCGCCACCCTTCCACCAATCAACTGATGAGAGTTGTAGGTGGCATATTCAATACAACGGAATATTTATGCAGCAATAAAAAAGGATCAACTACCTATGGTTCCAATTTGCTTTTTTTTTTTTTGAGACAGAGTCTCACTTTGTTGCTCAGCGCGGAGT